TAAAGTGCATATAATATTCAGCAGTATGACGTCTCGAGCCCCAGACCCTTTAATAACCTACCAGCTCTATCGTGAGTCTCCTGGTGGTACAGCAATAAAGTTACAGACATATGACGCTAAAAGTCAGAGTTCGATTCCCAGCAGTGGATATAGCAGATAACCTAATTGTGGTTCTGCTCTATAATAAAGAAACAAACAATCTATTGTGAGCAATGATATGTTTATTGTAGATATAATTATTCATAACAAAAGTAATTTTAAAAACAGTTCAATCCTTTTTTTTAAGAAAAATATTTACTGAAGGCTTTTAATTAGTAGTTTAAATAAGTTTATAATTGTGTTCATATTTTATATCATGCGCAACTACAGACGTTTACTTTGGCCGTAACTTGAATTTTTGTGCTTGAAGCTCCAGGTGTGCTTAATATTTCTTTTGACAAGCGAGGATAAAGGCAGTTTAAAAGCTCAAATGACTCACTGCTATATGCTTCGAGTTTACTCTGTACAAACAATTAGAAAATTACTTTTTCATTGTGAATCACACGATATACTTTACTTATAGTGAAAGTGATCTTCTTGTCAAGTTACAGAATAAAAATCTAGCTTTAGTGTTTAAACAAGTAATTAGAATCTTGTTGCAAAATAAATAAATTATACACAAGGACATTTTCAGCAATTTTTGATGAAAACAGAAATAATTTATGAAAGTGCTTTTATTAAAGCTTACTACGACATTTCGAAAGTGTTTAATTTTACTTCTAATCAAAAATCTAACTCATAAGCCACCATAGCTCAGTGGTAGAGCACTGGTCTCGTAAACCAGGGGTCGTGAGTTCGAATCTCACTAGTGGCTGGGAAAATGTGGGATTATTATCGTTTTCGGGGAAGATCCATCATGTCAAAGAAAAGGACAATGAATTTTCGTGTTTATTTTTTTTTAATTTCAAGTCAACCACTGCTGGACTTTAAACAATACTAGGTTGAGAACGTAGAAATAGCTTTATATTCTGTTTTCGTTGTTTACAAATTCTTCAAATATCTATAAAATATCAAGACAAAAAGCAACATCTTATGGAGACAAGTATATAATTTATTGCCACTGTGAACTCTGCAGTTTATCAGAGCTAAGTCCATTTCTAAAATGAATTCTGATTGGTAGAGGCTACTTAATTAAATATATATGTATATATAGGCTGCATAAATCCGCTAATGGATTACTCTTTTTATAAAAATGTATTTATTAGCCTATAGGGAATTATTTTGGCATCTTGACAAAACAGAAAAAGTGTATGGCGAATGTTATTTTGCATATTGCAAGGAAAGCACCGAGGGTTGATTATTCTGTAGAGTCTGGATACCTACACAACAAGGTATATAAACAGTCCATTGTAATAGAAACAAGAAATCAGAGCTTTGTAATACTGTAGTATTACAAGTTGCTACTGTTTTCTTTTTCCACAGTTTCTGGTTGTTACACCAGAACAGCCCCCCTCCAGTGGCACAGCGGTAGAATCCGGGTTTCGATACCCGTGGTGGGCAGAGCACAGATACCCCATTGTGTAGCTTTGTGCTTAATTACAAACAAACAAACAAACAAATACACTAGAATAAGGCTTTTATGAACCAAAGATTACATCTTCTTACACAAGAAGTGTAAAGGGAATACAATTTACTTTTTACTTTAATTGAATTACGAATGGGATTATCACATCCGTCTTAAGAATAAATATTAAATCGTTTAATAGAAAAAGATGCTTACAATTAGTTTTTTGAACTTCTAATGTTTATTCGTTTAGTTTTTTGCTTTTTGATGTACAAAAAAAATTCGATGTCCAAAATATCCATTTGTGAAACATGTTATTCATTCAATGGCATCATTATACTCATGAATTACTTTTACACTTTTGTCTTCGTGTTTTGTCAGGTTTGGAAATATTGAACAGCTACTTCAATGTGTATAAAAACTGAAACCCTTTGATTTGGCGCATGATGTGTCACATCTAAAGCACAACTCCAACAACAATGAAAAATAGAAAGAAATGACTAGATACTGCGTATGAAGTCGTATGAATACAAAGCATTATGATAGTGTGTGAAGCGCCAGTGGTTAGGGTATGCCCCTGGATATTTGAGCTGATTGGCCGCCCCAGAGGGATGGGAGAGGGTAAAGACCATGATATCATAGAGTCATGCACCAGAGATGAATCTGTCATAGTTCCAGGGGCACAGAGGACGTGGCTGTCTTAGGTGGATGGGTGACATCATAGTTCCACGACGTGGCGCCAGAGAGCGAGTTGCTATAATCATAGTTCCATAAAATGGCACCAGATGACGCGTTGGTATGATGAGTACACAGATAGTTTGCAAGCGAACCTTTTTGGTAAAATATGTCATATCTATTGTGTAATGATATGTATGAGACTAAAGTCATGTCACAATTTTAATGATTCAATTTTATGTATTAAATATTTGTTGACAAATTAGAAAATTTATTACACTATAACACGTAATCTTAATAATAGCTCATCAAAGCATCAAATACATTTTCACAAGTAATGATAGCTCATAATTATAATTAATTATAAATCAGATGATTATTCTTTCACATGTAAAATATTTACTGTTTATCATTACAGCAACAATGTAAAATTATAAACTTGACAAGCACAGTGAAACGTTTATTAACAAAACTTCAAGATACACAAACATACCATTTAAGTAAACACCTTAACTTATAAAATACTGAATTAGCTTTCACACAACGTTTGCACATTATTTTCATGTTATTATTTCAGTTAGAGTTAATATTTTATATCAGGTCTTTGTACAATATAAAGGATGTAAAATCTGTTAAATACTTTGATGTTACGTCACTCTATCATTGGAACAATACGACAAAAGGTGTGGTCTACAAGAAAAGTCACATCTATCATTTTACATGAAATAAGTTTATGAAGAATGTTCATAAAAATTCACATCAAAACCACGTCGGTTAGATTTATCTTCAGAGACCACTGGGCAAAAACGATTCTTTTTATAATTAAGTTAGTATTACTCCTACTGTATAAAATAATAATAGAGTTTTACTTTTATATCTTAAAGGTCAACGAAATTGTTATAAGATTTACGAAAATTAGTAAAGTTCATTGTAGTAATAGAAATAAGATAAAGCCTTACATAACACGTTGTCACACAGTTCTCCCTAAAGTTACAGTCGTAAAAAAACCTATGTTCTTATATTAAGGAGCAATAGGTGTCCAACGTGGAGTCTGTTGCTAGTGAAGTGTCTATTTTCATCGGCGAAAAGAAAAATTCAGGGATTTGTGTTTGACAGCAAACTCGAGATCTCGTGCCGAGACTGTCCAGGTACACGACAAAGGGTCCGTAAAATGTAGACAAGACTCAGTTAGTAGATGACATAGTGTCCATTCTATAGTATACAGAGTCGCAAAAAAAAAAAAATGCGACGACTTTCTAGAATTACGGGAATGTCTGACGCATATCACTAAAACTGATAATACCTCTTTACAAGTCTTTCTTTACTGACTCTTTACTACGGGTTTTAATCGAGGAGAAATGTACTAGCATATTGATTGTATGCACCTTGTGACGCAAGCAGCTGCCGACGAGGCCTCTCACCCAGTATCTAAGCTCGTTGGGTCAGCTGGAAATGTAACAAAATATCAGTCGAAACATTATATCAGTCATCAGTGTTAGATCATTTATTAAGGTACTAAACTTGAGGTGTTGATAATTGTAAGCACTACGTTATGTAAATTACATAAAATATGAATTTTAAGACTTGATTGTCACTAAAGTTGGTGACACGTTGATCTAAATCACCATCTGGTGGTTCACTTGCAAACTATCTGCGCACTCATCATATCAATGCACCCTCTGATATCGTCCCTCCCTTAGGATAGCTGTACCCTCTGATGTATTTTTGTGGAACTATGACGTAATAATCTGTAGTGGGTGGCACTATGGCGTAATCGTCTCCACACCCTTTCCTCTGACACAGCGAAATAGGTAGTTATTGTTCAGTTCAGACTGATACTTGTAGAGAAAGTATTGGAGAACTAATCAACAAAAGTAGCTGAGGTATAATGGACGACATTTTGAAAGACGGAAGTCATCCTTTGAAAGACGGAAGTATTTCGATGTCATCCTTTGAAAGACGGAAGTATTTCGAAATGTCGTTTCTGTCTCAGTTACTTTTTTAGATTAGTCCTCCAAGACTTTCTTTACATGCGTCATTCTGAACAAGGCAGTTGCTGCTCATTTCGCCTTTGTTTGTTCATCGTTATACTTATGACACTGGTTTCATTTCCATAGGTCATGCATTTTGTATCAGACGTTTTTTTTTGTCGAAAATCTTCGAAAAGTATAATTACTTAAGCTTTCGAGTTTAGTAAGACTTAAGTCGCACTTCAATCTGTTCTATTTAACTATTTTTATACACTGTATTGTTAGAATCGTAGCAACTCTCAGACAATTTTGCGTGACAACAACAGTTTTATCCTTGATAACTATATCTGTATTAAGCAAATCTCTGATTAACGTTTTCGATGATTGAATATCATGTTTTGAAACCATGTGACTTATGAATTATTTTATTCGGATAGTGTTAGTTTCATTTTGTTATGTATGCGTAAACATACACTTTTGGTATTAACTTCGGATAGTGTTAGTTTCGTTTTGTTATGTATGCGTAAACATACACTTTTGGTATTAACTTCGGATAGTGTTAGTTTCATTTTGTTATATATGAGTAAACATACACTTTTGGTATTAACTTCGGATAGTGTTAGTTTCATTTTGTTATGTATGAGTAAACATACACTTTTGGTATTAACTTCGGATAGTGTTAGTTTCATTTTGTTATGTATGCGTTTCGGAAAGGTACATAGTACGTAGAGATGTTAGATAACAAGTAGCTTATCATATCGATAACACGTAACTTACGTACATGACGAGAAACTGATTCATTGGATATCAATTCTCGCTGAAGGTGTGATGGAAGACACATGCAACTACAGACGAAGAAAAGAACACTTTGAACACATATTTGAGAAGAAAGGTGAGCGTTTATGTACCTTAGTATACTAACATATTATTGGAAACATTTCTAACAGTCAATAGTAAAATAGCCTACCTTAAACCAATACAAACTAAATCATATATGACAGTTTGAATGAACATTATTGTCCATGATTATGCATCCAGTATAAAGAAAGATACATGTAATGACAGAAGTAATTAATTAGTGCGCTTTGGGTAAGGTTGTCAGAGCTAATCTCCTTTCAGTGGTGTGGTTACTGCTGCATTGACACTTTTATATATACTTTCATAGTAAAGAATGATCTTTGAAATAGTTTATTTTCTGTTACCATTGAACCCGTAAAACTTATCAGAACAGCCGTGAAGAAAGACCGAATGTCAGATCTGACTAGACGGTTATAGATAGTTTCAATAAACCTGTCGAAAATGATAGAGTTTTAAATACATGCGTAGTTATGAAAACAACAACAACTATACATCAGTTAATCTGACCTAATAACGACCTTGCCCGCGCAGCGTAATTAATTTACTCTTTCCATCCATAGCCGTACTCTGTAAATACTTACGAATGGGCTTGGTATGTAATACGTTAACATATCTTTTACTCCTTGCAGTTAAGTTTATTCGAGCTTTCTTCCTCTAACCACAACTTTCTAGACAAGAAGTGATTGTTTTGTTTTACTTATTGATATCTTTGTTAGCAGAAAATATCCGGGCCGAAACTATGTCAGTAGTATATTAATGAATGATACTGTGGCCTCACGACTATAATCATACCTACAGAGTTTCAATCACTGGACGTCTTTCTTACATCAATTAATACAGACATGATATACAGTGTGTCCAATTATTGGACGTCTTGCGTATACTTCATTATTGAATAAGAGGGAATCCTCAATAGCCGCGGCACATAAAATTATTTTAGGCAGGATTAGAGTAAATTAATCAATGAGACTTTTTTTCCTTTTTATTAGCTCTATTTTTGTGCGCCAGTAATACCAAGTGTGGGGCGTACATATACCCGATTCGATTTTATTACTCAGCATTCTACCCTCAAATTGAAATTTTTTTAGGCAGGATTAGAGTAAATAAATCTATAAGACCTTGGGCATGACCAAACATATCAATCGAAAGGATTTGATCTCCTGAGTCCAAAACTGTAATTAGATCTCAAATCGATCAAGAGATGACGGAGCTATGAGCTAAAGTTTGCACTTGAAAAATAACAACAAACTCAGGGCCATTCTATGAGCCGCCACGCCCCGGCTAAAAATTGTGCTACCCTAGTAGTGATCCTACAAACCAACAGCAAAGAAGTTTGCTTGGGATCTAAATGCGGGATAAAAAGGCCCACCTCAACAGTTCTCGAAAGAGGTTATTTTCACTGTTACTGTTATATATCAATGCTGAACGTGTACGCTGTCCTTAAAATTACATTTGTATTATTAACGTGTAACAACCGATTATATGTAAAGACTGTATAAAATCTTATCTTTTACGTCACCTTTTGTTTCATAACTTAATTTACTTATCGATTATGCGATTATTAAGGCACGTTTCAGATACAGGGAATTACAATCTTACTTTACAAGAATGATCAGATGGTTGACACAGAGTTTTGTTTGCCATATACACGATATCATAATGTCTGATAAAGTTAGTTAAAGATTTGAAATTATGCAAATATTTGAATTTACTATTAAAAAACACACACACAAAAACAAGCAAACAAAACACTTCAACTTTCCAAGTGTCCTTGAATCATGTTAAAAATTATGTTCTTTAACATGCTAAACAAGTTGGACTGGATTAGTCCTAGTAGCTAACATGCCCATCTGCGGAACGGAATATCCATAGTTCGAGCTCAGTTCACTTTCAGCTGAAGGTGTGTTCTTAAAGTGACAGCTAACAGCTATTTCATTAAGTGTAGCTGTGTAGGCGACAGATACTGTTGACTGATTGCCCTCCATCTAGCCAGTAGTTCTAAATTAGAAATGTCTATGTCTGAACCATGGGGTCTCTGACCTGGTCGTTTAGCTCATGAGTCGCATAAGGCGGTGTTCACGTTGAAAACACAGAATATATCAAAATTTAAAGCAGTTGCTTGAGTCAGCACCATCTGGTTATCACACTGTGAAGTAACATGCACATCTGAATACTTATTAACAGATAAATAATTAATTGTGTTACTTCATTTAGTTAAAAAAATGTATTATACGCTTTGTATTATTTGTTTTGTTACTTTATATACTTTATAAATTTTGAAACATAAAACTCTTCATCATAAGTCCTGGGAACATGTACAAGAAATATTGATTTTAAAAATACTTTTCAGGTATAGTTGACTTAAATGAATTGATAAGTACCCCTTTGTGCGCCTACTCTATCTAAGTTATCATGGGAAAATCATAGTAAACTTTGTACTGAGCTAACTGATAGCAGTGCTTCCTCATATATTCATGTGTGGATTTATATCCAAGGTGTCTAATAAGAAATAAAGGTACTTTTGATATAATGTTATTTAGCCAGTCTGTAGTTACATCAATATACAGATGAATAGATGCCTTAGAACTTTTTGTAATAATCCTATCTTATTTATTACATTGTATATATATATATATATATATACATATATATTTCCACAGAACAGTGTTTTGTTTGTTCATTGATAAGCACAAAGCTACACAACGAGCTATCTGTGCTCGGGTAACCGCGGGTATCGATACCCAAACTTTAATGTTATAAACCCTCAGACTTACTGATGAGCCACAGAAAAGCGAAATTAGTTAACGTTGGTATTTATTTTTACGTATGTATTAGCACTTTTTCATAACGAATGTGATATGGTGATTAGTGTGCGCAGACTGTGAATCCGTTGCCGTTATGACTTTGGATGTTAGGTACATTAATCCTACTGTTATATCAGATTTGAGATAGCTATCTGCCTCTTCCACTAGTTTATCAGTTCAAAATTAGATCTGGCTATACGCAGAGAGTCCTTATATGTAGTTTGATCGATAATTCTAGAACAAGTAAACCATAATTCATTTAGAACTCGGATTTTGTTTGATTCACATGGTATAATTCAGAATATGAACCGCGTGCTGATTGGCTTAACCCTCGTTTTTTAGATCATAATTTCCTCTAATTCTTGATATTTCGTGACGTAATGGTGAGTGCTTTGGACTTCTAATTCAAAAGATACGTGTTTGAAGCTTACCAGCGCTAGTCATTATGCTCTTGAACAGGAGACGTTAAGCAAAATGTGTTTCAGTCTAACCAGCTGCGATGGACTGGCATCCCGTCCACGTGTGTGTGAAAACTATTGCACTTGTTTGTCCCAATGTTTGATTTCCCTTATTAACAAACAGCTATACAATGGACTATTTGTGATCTGCCCACCTTGAGTATCTATAACCGATTTTTGGTGTGTATCAAATCCCGATGTGTGGTGTTATAAGCCCTCAGACTTACTGTTCAGGTTTACAGGGAGGGTTGGGTCTTGTTCCACGGGAAACCGGAGTTAAGCATCGGCCTTTTATGACGCAGGAACGGGAAGAATTTAACTTTTAACTGGTGTGATGAAACGAAAATGTGTTTGCTCTTTGGCTTCATGTTGTTACATTTCCAAATGAAATAAATTCTTAACGTTCATTGGTTAAACTAAACTTAAATCACAAAACTTGACTAGACCATTGGCTAATAAATCCTATGTCATGATCAGCTGCATACTGCAGCTTCAGTTGTATCAGATATCATTTTAAGATGGTCAAACCCACGTGGATGAGTTAACGAGATTCCCACTATTACTATCTGTTATTTAGTGAAACCAAAACCAAAGGGACTGGCTTGGAGAAACGGAAAGTTAGTAACAGAAAAGATGTTACATTCTCAAATAAAATGTCAAGTAACAAGCATGTTACGGAAAGGTACGATAACGCTTGTATGTTGAACAATACTCGTAACAATTGCATAATAAGATGTTTACTTACAGAAAACAAAGGTGGCACCAAATCTGATCTTATGTAACAAGTTAGAAAAAATATACCATTGTACCCGAGCAACAATATACTATTGCACCCGGGCAACATATTCGTAAGATTCAACTAAGACAGAATACCTTCAGTATTGTTACGTCTCCGTTTATTAATTGATTTTCCGTAACTTCGTTCCGACGAAACTTTAGCGACACAAGTCCTTACTTAATAAAACTGGTTTATTCTTTCCGAATACAACTTTACCACCCACTTATTTTCAACAATCGC